GCCATCACACGTGAACGACTGTACCGATTTTACTAACTCTTTATTCGTTGTATTTGATATCGCCAGGAGAAAATTCTTATGAGAGAAAAAATCGAGAATATTGCGCGAAAAATTATAAAATTTAAGAATATCTAATCTCTTTTATTAATTTAAGAATATAAAATCTCTTATATAAAAATCTCATGACAGGGTGTTCTCCTCGGAAACGGCTTGACCGATTCGTATGAAAATTGTTGAAAATAATTGGTAGGTCTGAAAATCGGTTGTAAGTTATTTTTTATTTGGAAATTCAAAATGGTGAATCAAATATAACGGATGAATGTCGTCATTATAATCCGATTCTATTCAAAATTGGTATCTGGGAGTTTTCGGGGTCGGAGATTATGATTCTCTCGTCGAAATTTCGAAATTCATGATCGTAAATCCAATAAGGCGGACGAGATTTATAATCATTATCCGATGCTATTTAAAATTGTTGACTGAAGGTTTTGCGAGGTTGGGATATTTCCTGCTTCAAAATCAGGAAATTCAAGATGACGTATTCAATATGGCGGACAAGATTTGTGATTATGAACCGATTCAAAATTCAGAATTGGTATCTGGGGATCTTCGGGATCGGAGATGCTCAAAGAGCAACGAACGATGAGCATTGTATACTGAAATGTGTAGAAATTGAAGAAGAACGCTTTTATAGATAGCCAAACTATGAGGAAGTACACAAAAAAATATTGTTTGAATCAACAAAAATTCTAAAAATTCAACGTGATCTGATTGTCATTCATTCATTCACGACAAAATATTTTGTTACTGCAACAAATTTGTGCTATCAGTTTTCAACTTAAGATTCATTCGATGTAATGTCACCATCAGGTGGCGATAACATGACTACTTCATCATTTGATACGCGTCTTTGAGCATATATTATCAAACTTGATGGCACGTTTTGTTGGGCTGCTTTTGACAATGAAATAAATAATGTTCATAAGTATTATTACCCAGGTTATTATTTGTGTAATGTTACTATAATATGAGGTGGGGGCCTAGGGGCATCAGAATGTTCTGATGGAGTTGGGATCGGAAAAGAAAACATCTGAACTACCTCAATTTACCTCTCTACAGAAGCTTCTCTGTAGAAACATAGCATCCTGTTCGGAAGATAGATATAAGATGAGTCATGCTCATGTTAGATTCGTGAAATCTTTCGCGAACAAGGACTAACAAAAAATCGATGGTCGGCTCAACAGAGAGCCTTGAAAAAGTCCTTAATTATGGTGAACTCAATATCCTATACTATTCCTTCTATCTGAGATCTGGTCCTGCTAACTAGATAGATAGATAGATTCTCTATTGCTTTCAAAGACATTACAGTCCTATAGCAAGGATTCGGTTATTTCTGATAAACACTTTACATGGAAATGTGTACAATGCAAATTGTAATAATTGTCACTATACATATGTGCAAATATAATCAGTTTTGATTAATAACAAAAGAACGAACAGGAAGAAAGAATAGGGAAATGAGGCAAAGTTGATGATATCACGAAGTGCTTCTCGTTTCTTGAAAATGCTCTGGTTTTTAGAATATTCCATATATAGTTGGCGATATTTTTGAATTTAAGTGGAGTAAGATTGTCGATGAAGTCAATCAACGAGTGGCTATTCGGGATATGATCACTGTTTGGTATTCTGAAACTATTGTAAATCGGACACTCGAACAAAATATGCTGTAACGTTTCTGCAGAATTCAAATTACAAATTGAACATATCTCATTGGGATTTATTTTATATGAGCTTCCATTATATGTGAATTTGATGAAATATTTATTACATATTCTTAACTGCGATATTGTGCGAATGATCTGAATGGGCAAATGGAAATGTAGATAGTTAGCCTCAGCTTTTGTGACAGTTAATTGTTTATAAAATAGCAGAAATGTGGATCTCTGCAGGAGGGCGCGATCTTGTCCGTGGAGTTTACTATAATATTTAGATAATAAATAAGTTTTATGGGTTTTCAGAGAGTGAGGGTTCATTTCGATCAGAAACTCTGAGGCGTCGATAAAATCAAAATGTTCCTTCACTTGAAGTGCCCAGTTGTACTTTGGGTTGATATTCGTTAGTGACATTTGCCTCAGAAAACACAATTTCGGAAGGCGACGGATGTCCATCTCAAGAATTTTGATGATCCAATTCAGGGTGAATTTGAAGATATTATATAGAAACTTAACTTTTCCAGTTTCAAGTCTGACGATATAATCTTGTGAACTAAGTGGCAGTAGCAAGAGCCTTTTGAAGAAGTTCACTTGTACTCTTTCAAGGATGTCATGATATTTCGAACCCCATACAGGAATACAACTCATCATCACACTCAAAATTGTTGCTTCATAAAGTTTTATTCTGCCTTGCCATGAATTAATTTTGGTCTTTGCCATTATGGGCAGTAATGCACCAATTGCTTGTTTTGCTTTATTGGCTGATGAAACTGCCATCTCACGAAAAAATGAGGATGAGGTGAAAGTCACTCCCAGATAGACGTACTTATTAGTCATAGATATTTCCACCTTGTCAAAATAGAATTTATATCCTGGGTTGTAAGTCCTACAAGTACCTTTAGAAAAACACATTATTTTTGTCTTGTTGGCATTAATTTTCAATTCATTTTCGACGGTGTATTCCTCTAGGATTTTGAGTTTTCTAGATATGTCTATTTCAGAGTGCCCTAAAATTACTGGATCATCAGCGTAAAGAAGCATTAGTACATCGGTGAAGTTATCAATATTGATTCCCTGAGCCCCTCTACTGATTAAGTAGTTTTCCATATCAGCGATGAATAGAGCAAATAGTAAAGGGCTCAAAGATTCGCCCTGCAAAACACCTTGAGTGATGTCAAATGATTTGGAGCATCCATCTGAAGCTTTCACGGTCATCGCTGCCATTTCGTAAAGATTCCTAATTATTCGGATGGAATTGGAACTGACGCCTGAGTCATAAAGTTTTTGCCACAATAAACCATGATTGATAGAATCAAATGCTCTTCTGAAGTCCACAAAGAGAGCAAATACTTTATTAGACTTCAGACGGAGTTGAAGCTGGATAACAGAGTTCAAAATGAAAACGTTATCGATACACCCCCTTCCTTTCCTAAAACCAGATTGGCATTCGGGGAGCATTGCATTGCATTCAGCATAACTTTCAAGTCTGACTAGTAAAATCTGAGTGAAAACCTTGGCAAGGCAATTCATCAGTGCAATTCCTCTGTAATTGGAAGGGTCATCGATTGGTCCCGATTTATGTAACATGCTCATTTTAACATTGCCCCAACTCTGCGGAAGAAGTCCAGTTTCCAGGATTTTATTGAATGAAGTGGTCATGTAAAGAATCCAGTTATTAGGGAGGTTTTTCAAGAACTCGTAAGTGATGTTGTCTGTACCAGGACTTTTATCATTTTTACATCTATTCAACACCTGGTAGACTTCAGCAGTTGAGATAGAGGTATCCAAATATGGATTCAGAGCATCAAAATAAGTGACGTCGTGAGGAACTCTTACTGGATAAACCTTGTCATAAAAAGATTCCCAGACAAAAGAAGGCAAGTTACATTGCGAGCAATTACCTCTGAATCTGTTTATTGTATTCCAAAAATTTTTCGAGTTCCTCACATTAGATAGTTGCTCTTGAATCAACTTTTGATACTCAGAGCGTTTTGATTTGACTACTTTCTTGTACGCACGCTTCGATTCAAGAAATTTGTTTTTGGAGAGAGAAGAGAAGTTTTCTCTCCTACATATACGAAGGTTTATGTTGAGTTGATTCTTGAGAGTAACATATTCGTGATCGAACCATGGATTACGAGGTCTAATAGCTCTTCGAGGAGCCATCCTCTGGAAGCCAAGAGTGTCAGCAGTTTCATAAATATATAGCTTCACAGAGATTTTCGTGCGCTAGATGGATGTCGGATGCGAAAGTTATTCTAGTAGAACGTTGCATCATCAATTTGTAAGTTAGTGCCTTTTTTCCATCAAAATACAGAATTCTATTTTGTGGACAAATTTCAATGTTTGAGTTTACATTGTGCACCGCAAGTACAGCATTATCTGTCCTTAGTGTCAGTGATAATGGAAAATGATCAGAAAGACTAATATGATTCAAAACCTGCAAACCGTCTACATTCCGTAGAAAATTATTATTCACCCATACCAAGTCATTCACACTGTTACCAGCAGTAGCCACATAGGTAAATTCAGCTGGCCGATCAAAAACTGATCTACCATTCAAGAGGGTGAAGGAATTGCTGAACATGAAATGCAATAGTTTACGTCCTCTTGCGTTAACTTAAGTATCGTAGGAAAGAACATTTTCATATAGATTAGTGTTCTCAAGAGCCTCTGCAGGGGTAACAGCAGCCTCACCAATACGACAATTGAAATCACCTGCAATTATTATAAGGGTATTGTCATAAGATTCAGTGACTTCAGTGAGAGAGACCTGCAAAAGCTCTAGCAAATCACCAATATCTAGAGATGGCTTGAAATAAATATTACATATAATAAATTGAAAGTGAGAAAAAGTAATCAATCCACCAAGGGGATTTTTCGATGAGTTTCAAGTTATACATAGAATTGCTATAAAGAACACATAACCCACCACTCGCTCTGTCAATGGATTTTTCTTTTATAGCAGGTGATATAACAGAGCGTCACTGAAATTCACATTGTCACTAACTAACCAGGTTTCACACAGACAAATAAGTTGCGTAGAACTTTGGATGTACTCATCGATAAAATCCTTGATGTTGTTGAGCCCTTGGCAATTCCAGAATATTATTGATATTGGCTGCTAGGATTGAGTAGTGGATGACGAGGTTTTAGAGATCTTGATACCCGAGTTCCTTCTTGGTGAAACTTCTTCTTCCTCTCTGCTCCGTTTATTTTTCTCATTTACAGGTTTAGTTACTATTTTAGGTACTTTATTCAGATACTTAATGGTCAAATTAGTTTCACCTTTACTTATTCTTTCGTTAAGCTCAGTTCTCAGTTTTTTCAATTGATTGTTCTGAGAAGGTGTTAAGTCAGGTTTCACACGAACATTTGGGAATCTGTTCCTGGGAATGTTAGCTTTCTTCTTCAAAACGGGAAGTGCTATTTCTGGGGATGGTAAAACAACTTTGAGCAAACGAGGTGTATTAGTCGTAATAGAGTGATTACCTAAGCGGGAAACATCGAGTACGTGACAAACTGATTCAGGAACAAAGCTATCAAGCACTATCTTAGTTTCTTTTATGTCATTCTCAGGACTAGGTACTTTCAGGTATACCGAACAAAATGATATTTTTTTCACGCTTGATACGTTCAGTAGCTTCAACGACTAATTGTTCGTGATCAACTTCTTTGGAAACTCCTGAAATTGATATTTTGTTTTCTAGACTGATCATTTTCTGTTGTAGAATTTTATTTTCATCACGAAGCTGGGATATTTCGGCTGCGTGAGAAGTAAGTATATTTGCTAGCTCAGATATCTTGGAGTTACTAGCAGTAATGGCATTGGTTACCGTTGAAAGCTGGGCCATTATCGCGTTAAAGTGATTAGTATTGAGAGGACCAGAGGCAGTCGAAGAATCCTGGTCGAAATTGCATGTATCGCAGCACCACGTAGGGTCGCCTCCAACAGCGCTTGAAGAACGACGAGCACACGATCTGTGCGGCCGCCTTGAGCACACTGAGCAATAAATTGAATCGCCTGCGTTAGGTACATCATAATCACATACGTGACAGATCGTATTGAAGGACGTTCCTGTTGATTTCGATGTACTCTTATCGGGCATATCGAAGAACGTATTTATGTGAATAAATAAGTAGGTACCTTATAATGAGCGGCTCAAAAAAACGAAAAACTACACAGAAGTATCACACAGTTCGCATTAACGACGTCGTAGGGATGAACTAATAATATGCTTCACAGGGAGATAAAACACGAATCGGCAAAATTATCGGTCAGAGATTTGTGTAGCGATCTTCACTCTAGCACGTCTGAAACCGAACTAAACAGTTAGGCTACACGAAAAAAAGAAGGTCTGTTGCATCAACAAAATAATTTTGATTATTATTTTTTGTTTAATCAAACACAATTTTGCAAAATCAACAAAATACAAGTTCATTCTGAACCTTTTTCAAAGAGTCAAAATAATTCAATTGAAATATTTGCTTACTTGAACCAAAGTTTCATTCCATTCAACAACATTTATATATAGTTGACATTAAACACATTTTGTTGATCCATCTATTATTTCATTGTTTAATCAGTCATATGCACTTTGTCTATTCGACAGAATTCAATCAATTTTGACAAAGATTTAACTGAATACAACATCATATTTTGTTGAGTCAACAATCATTTCCTTGTGCAATCAATCAAAGGATTTCTTCTATTCGACAAAACTGAATTGATTAGACAACATTATATTTTGCTGATTCAATACATCACTATCGCAATATGTTGTTAAATCAATCAAATTACTCTGTTGAACAGAATCCACAAATACATTATATCAAACTAACAAGATATTGATTCAATGAAATATTTAGTTGATTCAATGAAATATTTGGTTGATTTGAAGAAATTTTTGGTTCATTCAAACGAAACTGTATTTCCATCCGACAAATTGTTTAGTTGAACCAAATTCAGTATTAATTTGGGAATTTCCTGAAATCCACATCGATATAGAATGAACTAAACTAGGAAACTATAGTCGACTTCAAGTGAAGAACGCTCCTCTTCAGCTGATGCAACACTATTTTAGATTGGTAATCATCTAATGTTCGATTTATCCAGCTGATATCTCAAACACGAAGAATCAGGCTTCACATATACCTCCACGATCTCCCGACCTATCTCTTCTCGATTTTTATTTATATATATTAAAAACCAAGTTTATGCTCGTCGGCCTACAACACTGGAGGATTTGGACGAGAGAATTCAGGAAGCAGTACAAAGAATCGGTGTGGATGAACTCACTGCTGTCATGAGGTGTACAGTGGAAAGGACCAGGTTGTGTGTTAGAGACAATGGGCAAAATTCTGAACATTTAATTGGACATTGATGAATTTTTGATCGAAATGTGATGTGACTGAATTGATTCATGGATGTTACAGAACAAATAATTTTTCAGAAAAAATTATGTTGATAATTTTTCAGTAAAAATGTTGTTTTTTCGTTATGTATTGTAAATAGCCTTGATCACATCTCATTTATCCACGAAGTAAAATAGAAAAACAATTCCAATTTAAAATTTTTCTGTAAAAATGACATTTGACATAAAGATTGCACTCGTTTTGACCAGTTGAACTTGAATATGTGAGAATATACAGAGTGTTCCATTTGAAAAAACAAAGTTACTGACATTTCCAGAAGAACCGGAAGTCCGCCATATTGGAATGTGATGTGGTCAATCCCAAAATGATTGCTTATATAACTGTACCGAATTTCAGAAAAATTTGTTCACGAATGCAGAAGATACAGGGGTGGCCCGACACCCTGTGTCACCCGGTATAAAGAATCCGAGGCAGGCATAGACGAGGCGAAATGATCGCCATCTAGAGGCGAAAATTCAACTCGATGTAGAATGAACAAAATATTTTATTGACATTACATATTTCGTTGCTCTATTCAAGCAAATGATCCGTTCGAAACGAGTTCATTGCTACATCGGGATAAGAAAACTTGTATGTTGTTTCAAAGATTTATTTTTATCAAAATGATCATCATTTCATCAAAACAACAAAATTTTCATAACATCGACATTATTTTGGGTCGACATAAATTGTTTTTGAGAGAACCATAAATTTTGTTGATGGAATTGATCTTATAGTGTTGAGTCAATTAAACTACATTCTTGATACGAACAAGCTGCTTCCATGAAATATTCATGTATCTGGTTGATTCAACAAACAATTGCTCAGTCTAACAAATATAATTCGAGCATAAATAATTTGTTGATGCAACAAATCCTTTTTTTCCGTGCATGATTGACGCAGATCGACAGAATGGTAATTCAACATTAGGAGACATAACAGCTCTTCAATTTTTTTTCTAGAGAATCATCATTCTGAAATATATCCGCTATGTGGTTCAGATGATAATTCACTTCTGCTATGTGCACAAAAAAAAAGTTTTTTGAAACTACAAAATTTTTGTAAATTCAACAGAATCTGAGTGTCATATATCCACGACAAAATATTTTGTCACCGCAACATATGTTTTTTGTCCGTTTTCAATTCAAAATTCAATTGATGTAACCCATTAATGATTCAAATTAACAGCAGGAATTGGTTGAATAAACAAAGACGATTCTGTTGATTGGAATGATCATTTCATTTCATTCAAGGGACAAAAGTTCCAGTTTTTCTGAGTGATAATGTTGAAATAACAACATATATTCTTCGATCAACCGAATTTTATTCAGAGTTGACGAAATATTTTGCTGAATGATATTTAAAGAAATCCAATAGCTGAATTTCGAGACTAAGAGGAATTAAAGATCAATTTCCTCAGTTGATTCAAGACAATCAGCTTGTATAAGCATCTTAAGAAATTCTAAGACAGCCTGATATAATTATATAAACGGATGTTTTAGGTAGGTATATGTACAGGTACACCCCAATCGAGGCGAGCGTATGAAGGTTGAAAGAATAAACGCCACCTGGTGGCAAAAATGCAACTAGATAATCATTCAAAAAATATTTGTCTGATATAATGTATTCGTGGGTTCTGTTCAAGAAAGTAATTTGTTTGAAATAACAACATATTTCTTGATAGTGATGTGTTGAATCAACAAAATATAATGTTGTCAAAATCAATTCAATCTTTTCGAATAGAAAAAAACCTTTGATTGGCTGTACAATGAAATGATTGTTGACTCAACAAAATAAGATGTCGTATCAAGTTGAATATTTGTCGAAATCAATTTAATTTTGTCGAATATTCGAAATGCATATGATTGATTGAACAATGAGATAATAGTTGGGTCAACAAAATTTGTTTTATGTCAACTGTAAATGTTGTTGAATGAAATTAAACTTTTGTTCAAGTAAGCAAATATTTCAATCAAATTATTTTGTCTCTTCGTTCAGGTTTCTTATTTGGAATGAACATTTATTTTGTTGATTTCGCAGAATTGTGTTTAATTAAAAAAAAATTACCAAAATTATTTTGTTGGTGCAACAAAACTTTTTTTTCCGTGTGTCCGATTATGGATATTTTGAATCCGGGGTATGTATAAGTTTGAGAATCAAACCACTGTGATGTTAGGAGGGCCGTTTTTTGTGTCTATTGAAAAATTCCACATAGCAGATTTCGACTTTTCAATTACAATACATGGAAGCGATTTTTTGTGCAAGAACTGGCCTTTTATTTCAGCGTCCTGACATGAGATGAAAGAGATACTGATTGAATTAGAAAATGAAAGCTGTTCTGGATCTCAGGATGGTCGACGTTCCCCTCAGAAAGTAAGAGAGTTTGTCTGATACTGTAATTAACATAATGTGCCGGAGTTGATTGAAATCTTCATCTGGAAAGGAATTTTCCTTCATAAACAGAATGGCTTTCGAGAAGTTTGGTTCCTTTCATGTGGTTGAAAATTAAGAAAAGGCTATTCATTTATTTCTCTGGGAATAATTTATGTAAATGAATTGATGAACTGATGAAGAAATAAGCTACATGTTTTGTTCAATAGTTCAATATATTGAAATGATATGTGAGAACATGAAGGCATAGAAAAAAACTTGCGTATTCGAAGAATCATTCCAACAGCTTTAGAAGAATTCCGCAATTATTCGAAATTTTTAGTTATTTCGAGAACTTGAGATTTTCGTTAATTTTTTTTTATTATTGTTCTTACGTTTGAAGATCCAAAAATACTGACAATACTCCTCCTTAGGAACTCTTGATCAGATTGGACGTGGTGCGATCGAGCGTGTTCGGTGAACACACGGGTATGATCTCGAGACTCTTGTCGTTGCTAGTATCGCTTCTTCGTTCGAATTCGAATACTAGCGCCTAGAGACTGGTGGTAACAAAAATAATCAGCGCGGTAAAAGCGGGTACAGCGACTAAAATCGTTCTTCATACTACAGTCACTGCGGCTTGTGGCGTAGTTGACTGTTTGTTTGAATCCCACGTGGGCAACCCAGGTTCGATGCCTGCGACTGTCGACTTTTTTCAATTCTATTTTTTTCAAGTGATTTTCCATAAAATATAATTCTTACGAAACAGGTTCATTCAGGCCGATTAGGGCTAGATGGTTTGGAGAAAAAAGTTTAATTTTTTATGCAGGAGGGATATTCTCCTCCTCCCTTGAAGAAAGTACTGTTATTCGAGGAGGAAATATCATATAGGCTAAGTAAAGTTGGATGGTTTTGAAAAGTAGTTTTTTTTTATGCATTAGGGTTATTTTTCTTTTTTCACGAAAAGAGTACTGTGAACACATTCACTGTTGAGGGGAAGTTTTGACGAAATTATTTTCGAGAATGAATGTTTCTTTTGGCCCAGTAAGATTGTGTTATATTAAACAATAGTCCCTTTTCACTTCCAAGTGTTTTATGCAATTGAAGCAGGTGAAACTCCACTAGGAGTTTTTTCTGACCTCAGTCGGGCCTTCGACTGTGTCAATCATACACAATTGCTGAACAAATTATATCAAATCGGCGTCAGGGGAAAACCACATCAATCGTATTCGGAAGATCGAAACCAAAATATAAAAATCAAGTATGCTGCTGAAAATACCAGATATTCATATTTTTCGAATATTTTGCATACCGATATTGAGGT